TTTGCATGCCATTAAAGCACAACGTTGACCATGGCTATGAAAGTGTTTGCCAATGCGTTAATTAGGCCAGGCCAAAGAGATGCAGCAAAGCCAAATGCTGCGTCAATTTGCTGTGCACACACACACAGTACACACACACATGCACAGTCAACCACTTGTTTAGATGTTTATGAATTATTATAAACGTGACATCAAACGAAATAACTTAGATGCCATTTTGCGTGTCTAATTAGCTTGTTCTAAGAACTCGTCCTGTTTGCATTTGCCAAAAGAGAGAGAGGAACGACTGTCATGGCACAACAATTACACCCGTTTATTCGTATTCAAATCCGACCGTAAATGTAATTAAGCTCATGAGAATTAAACGAAAATTTATTTTGCCACCGAGCGGAATGGCGCGCAGCTCTCGTTAAGCGCCCAACAAAAAACCTCACGCGCAAATCCTTTCCTAATATCTTAACCTTCTCTCCGCTCCGGCTAATTTCTCTGTGGGCAGCGGGTGCGGGGGGTTGTGCTTTAGTCAAATACTTGGGGGGAATTGGTCTACGGTTCGGTTCGGTTTCTGGTCGCGTGTCGCATATAAATTGGCTCATTGCTGGATTCTTGTCTGCCGTAATTCCATCTTCTTCCTTTTTGGTGATAACAATTCCGCGTTTTTTATATTCTTCTTCTTGAGTGCTCACTCGTTCTTGATTGTTGCGTATTTTACTTGTTATTTTTTTTGTCGAATGGATTGAATTATGGGAATTTTTTTAGTGGAGTATAGAAACGAAAATGCAAGCTTTGGGCTTAGAAATATTTCGAGCTGTGCAAAATTTAAATATAAATATAAAAAATATAATATCAAGGATACATCAATTTTAAAATCGAATTTAAATATATTAAATAAGCTAGATAAAATAAAATAGAATAGTCAAATTGTCAATTTTAAAACCAAATGCCCGCACATGTTTTTCAGTAAACGCTTACACAGCTCGGTAAATATTTTCCCAATTTTTTCCAACTAAATCAAGCTGCCACAATATCTATGCTATTGCCAAAAAAAAAGTTGTTGTGCCCCGAGCATCGACAACATTAAAAACCAATCAAGCTCATTGTCACATAATCAGCCCAGACTCACACACATGTTTTATAATATATTTTTTATAAAGTCTGTTGTAGTCGTCGTATCATGGCACACACACACCCAAATGAGAGAGGAACAGCCCAAAAGTCTGGCACATAATAGTTTTGGCTTATGAAAACAAATTCAATCTGGAAGCTGCTTATGAAAATGTTTATGCAAGACGTGCGCAAACTGTGTGGGCTGATGGTGGGGGAGGGCAGTTGGAAAAGCAGCACCGCATTGCCGGAAAAATTAATGTCACATGACAGCAGAGTGAGTGCTGTGCGCAAGCGAGGGCGGGCTACTGGGCGTGGCAGCCATGCATTTTAGTCAGATAAACAAGCACGAGTCGGACTAGGGCAGGGCTCGGTCGGGAAGGCGGGAGGGTAGGGTTATAGCTGTAGGGGTTGTGTGCCCTGACTCTTGGTACAGTTGCGCAGCAAAGTTGACTCTGACAAATTGAAAATCATTGAACAGCGAAAGTAAAATGCACACCTAAGCAACAACGAGAGGGGGGAGATGCATAACGCTGTGTGTGTGTGTGTTGGGGATGGCTGCTGTGTTAGTGGCTTAGTGAAAAATAGTGTAGCATACATTTAAGCAAATTGCAATTAAGGTTGGCAACGTTTGCACAATGCTTTGCGATATTCAAAACCCTCATCCACACCTCCAACAGCCCGACCCACTTGCAGCCGTTTCCGTTTGCCGCTTGCCGCTCGACAAAGTGCGCCAATATGCCACAAAGTATGCAACAATTTGCAGCATAAATACTTTGTACGCTTCCAACTGTGTGTGTCGCTGCTCTCCCCCCCAGTCTCTTTCTCTTGCTATTGCTCCCTGTGTGCATTTGCAATAAACGCCACATAAATGTTGCATATGCCGAACGAGTTGCATTTTATTTTTCTAGCTTTTGGCTCCTGCACACGCCTCCGCCCCTAAATGGCAACAGCAGAAGCACCAGCAGCAGCACCCGTTTTAATGGATTTGTGGCCCGTTTCGTAGCCATTTTTCACTAGAAGCAACAGCTGCAAGCAGCATTGCACTATGGCAGGTCCAGGGGCAGCAGGGGCTGGGGGTTAGGGGGTAGGCTAGCGTTTATAGCTGCTTGTTGTGGTGTTGGTGGTAATGTTAAAAATGCGCCTGGTTGATCTTATGTTTATTTTGTCGTTCATTTTATGGCTGTTTGTGTATCATTGCGCTGTTGCCACATTTGACAAGCGGCTTAGGGCAAGAATGCACAATGCATTGCTGCCAAACTTCATCAGGCAACATTCTTACACCTTGTTGCCAAAATTCATTCAAACAAGCGTGCTTGGCTGTCAATTATTGCACCTAGGTATTTGTAGCGTCACTCTTTGTTGCCAAATTGCACTATACATTATTGCCAAACTTCAATTAGCACCTCGATGCCGAACTTCGCCGGAACTTTGTCTAATTCCCGACCAAATATATACAATTTTACTTTTATATTGTCGCAATCAAGTTTGAAACAAACTTTCTAAACACCTCCTTTTAGAAGCCCCAGTAATTATTTGCACTTACCGCTGGCGTTCTTGTCGAACTTCATTAGTTTACATTATTTGCAATTTCCGCACCTAATTGTGGTCCACGTGTCGTATGAGTAACTCGCATGCAAATAAACCCAACTAACCAACTGGAGTTAAATTGCCATCGCACACTTTGCGCTTCATAAAAACTAAACTGCAACTTCCGGAACTCTCGCTGAACTTCCACTTCCACCTGACGCTTTGCTCATAATCTAAAATAATTTTGTGCGCGCGCAAAATTTACACCTGAGACGACGTCGTTGGCGTCGTCGCCTTGCGTGTGAAAATTTTCCAGCAATTGCATGCAACAATTCCCGCCCCACGGTACCGCAAAATGCTTAAACATTTTAGGCACGCTTCCGACCGCCAGCTGCCCAACCTCGGGGCAATGAAATTCTTTCTCTCATACACTTGACCTGGCCAAAGACTTGAGCTTCGCGTCACGCATACGCCCCATGCGCCAGGCAACAAATCAGCGACCCGTCCCTGAATTTCAATTAAAGCTCTGTGCGAGGTTGATTTTGAGGGGCAATAGTTAAAATGAATCACAGTGTTTACCTCTTGCCACAGGCTGTGGCACGTTCCGAGTTTAGGAGCATTTATTGACTTGCTCTCAGCGTGTGGGTGAAACAGCAGCAGCTGCCGTGGCCCAAAAATTTATCTATGCTTATTTGCTTAAGGCCAAATTTTAAATTGAAATGTGCTGGCAACCTTCTGATGCTCTTGCCACACTGTAAACGTATTAAAAGCTTATGGTTTATCGGAGGAACTTCTAGTTTTGACTGCCCAGCCATAGCTTCAGGCCACTGGAACTAAAACCGAATAGCAAAAGTATTTGATGCGAAGTGCGAAGGATTTAATGCCATGTATATATAAAAAATAGAAAAAATGTAAAATCCTTATGAGAAATTGTTAGGAATTTGAAATATTTGCGAATTTTCAATCCAAATGGCACAAGGTTTAAGGACTTCGCCCTCTCTCTCCCTCTGTGTAGGACCGAAACGCAATTTGGTAGCCAAAAACTAGCAAGCAAAAAAAGAAAACAAACAAATAGCAGCAAGTGGCGCGCTCAACGCTCGCAACCCTGTGTGGATTTTTATATAAATATTTTGTCAGGTAGAATCGCCGACGATGGAACCAGAATATTTGGAACCAGCGTAAACAAACAGTTGCCGTTGGCGTGTTGGGTCCCAGCAACTAAATCAAATCAAAACAAAAGCGCAGCTTAAAGCAGAAAATTGTGAAGCGAAGAGATGGGCAGTAGTCAAGTGGCATGCAAATTCCTGTAACTGACGTAACATTGATAAAAGTTTTAAATCTTGACTTTAAATAGCGTCAACTTTTTTTATATAACGTTTTCTTTAATGTGCCCTGCTAGCAAGTGCCACATACACATTGCCCAGCGGTATTTTGACAGCTTGTAGCGCTATTCGAAATGAGAAATTGGTGGTTGGTAGCCTTGGTCGGTAAATCTTTGCTAGACTTGCCTTGTTATTGGCCTGTCTATGGGTTATTGCGGGTCTGCATGTTGACAGTTTTTAGGATATACATATTAGACATACATATACATGCATATTGTGCGTTACAGTGGGAAAGAAAAGCGCATTTGCTGCTTTAATATCATCGAATAAGTTCCCTTTACTACTGCATCCCATATTCCAATGTGTGTTGCTGGCAAAATAAGCTGCGCATTTTTGCGCCTCTCTTTGCGCTTCTCATGCACTGTACTTTGGCTTGTAGCTTGTAGCAATCACCACTGTTGTATTGTAATGAAAAAAATTCAATTAACTGGCTTGCCAAGCCGCAACTGGCATAAAAAAATAACCACAACCACCCAAGGCCCAGCTACCAATTCTGACTACTGCTTCCTTGACTCGAATGAAAAAGGAGGCAAAACAAATTTTTTTTTCGGCTTTAAATTGGATTTTTCATAAATTTGTAACGCACCTTTGGCTGGCGACTCGCTTCAACATCAAACACAACATTTTGCATGCAACAACACGAAAAAATAAAATAGAAAAAGTTGTAATTTAAATTTAAGCATATTTTTAAGTTTTTTAATTAATAAACTCGTAATTATTTATGTGCTTTTTCTTTTTTATTTTTTTTTCTTTGGTTTTTTTCGATTCTTGTTTAAATTGTTGTTGCATGCAAAATGTGAATAACAAATTGTTGAATTGCACCAAAAACTGTAGTTGCAACAATACAAACACAACATCGCAACAACCACCACCACCACCACCACAACAACCACCAACAACAACAACACCAACAACATCATCACCACCACCAACACCATCAACAACTTGTTGCCCCAGCTCAAACGCACAATCTTGTTCCATTTAAAGAGCCACCACTATTGGGACCAGGCACCGCCTTCCCACCATTCGGTGCAGCCGAATACCATCCCACCCAGCCGGATAACTGGAAGGGCGCCGCCATCCATCCAACTGGCCTCATGAAGGAGCCAACCGGCGTTGTTGCCGGACGCAATGCGCCAGTCGCCTTCGCTCAACAGGGACAGGCTCAGGTGAGTATCGAAATATCCCTCGTTACCCCTAGCTCCACCTATCCTAGACTCTACTGGCTTGGCTTGCAGCTTTATTTCTTTTCATAAATATAATTTTAATTTAAATGTACAATTTCTGCGCACGCTGCAATCCTTGCCAGAGGCAAAGCCACATCCCACAAATACCCGCCAGCTGCTCCTGTTGCTGCATCTGGACAGCATTTTAATTAATTTGTTGTTGCGTTTTTTCTCATACACTTTTCCATCCTCAGGGCGCTGTCATGATGGTCTATGGCATGGACCATGACACTTCCAACACAGATAAGCTCTTCAATTTGGTCTGCCTGTATGGCAATGTTGCCCGGGTAAGTTTCCCCCTACTATAAACTATATTAACTTGTTATAAATTGCACAAAATGACTGAAAATCTCGGGCTTGCGACAGTGCAGATCTTATGGATAAGCCTATAAAATTAATTAATAGCTTGTGGATAATTGGGGAAAATCAAAAGGCGAAATTATATTAGCAATTTTGAATATAGAATGGCATGCTGTGATAAAATAGTTAGATATTTGATACGTGCTGTTGCTACTTTGCGCAGCAAAAAAGGTATACAACACTGAACTTACATCTCTTGGATTGCTACTTTGAAGGAAAAGCTCTTGTGTCATATTTGACCTTTAAAAAGTGGGCGGGAATGCTCTTAAACTTGCACTTAGCAAGATGACACGAAAAAATACGCCACTCGCTTGGTCGTCAGCAAGAATTTTTGTCGAGACTAGCCACAAAACCACAAGACGTTTCGTGAGTGTGACTTCCATTTGTAAATGTGCAAATAAAACGAAACGCAATAAAATTGAAGGCAGAAGCTAAAGCCCCTAGGCCCGTACAAACGCGGGCCAGTTGGTCCACAGCAAAACACATTTAGATAAAGCGTTTTAGATTAATGCCAGGACATGTGCGAGGAAGGGTTGGGCTAAAGAGGGTTGTGTGCTCACATCAAAGACGCCCGCGGGCAGCAATCAGTGCAGCGTCATCAACGTGCCACACAAAATGCGAATAGAATTGATACCATTTTAGAGTAACACAAAATGCTCGCTAAAAAATAAATCATACTTGGTAAAATTACAGAAAATATCCTTTAAAAATAAACCCGAATACCTTTGCCAAATGACAATTCAAATGGGCACTCCATTGTACGAGCGGAGCGCTTGGGGAGCATTTAGCGAAACTATTGTGAGCCACGCAGTCGCCGCCCACCTTCCGCCGCCTGCCACTAACAATTGCGATAAAAAAGAAAACTTGAAAGGCATGGGGTAAAATAAACCGAGCGCGGCGACATCAAAGTCGAAAATGGTAAAAAGAAAAATGAAAAGTGAGTTCCTTGGCAACAGGACTCGCTTTCACTTTATTGCCACTAAGTCGCTCGCTCTGTGTGCGTTCTTTGATAATTGCGCCTGGGCACAAGGACAACGCAAAACGAAGTCAGTTTAGTTCAGTTTTTTTTCACTCAAACAAAGCGCATGACCCTTGGGCTTCTGCAGGAATGCAACATAAATGTATACAACGTGGGAGTTGATTTAAAATCTATAGACCTGGGAATAGGTGAAAGGTTACATATATTGTAGCTCTTTAAAGTCAAAAAGAAATGGCCGCTGCTGGTTTGTACGAAATATATACAACATATGGCAACACTTTTCTAAATCTCGCTCAGATTATATGGCAACGCCAGTGTAAATAACCATAGCGCAACACTTTTATTAGCAAATAATTTTAGAGCTCTCACATTCACAGCTTATCGTTGACCATATGGCAACGCCACATAGTAACTGTAGTTAGCTTATCTTTGACCATATGGCAACATTTTTATCTAAAGCGTAGTTTCCACTTCATAAATCTCAGCACTAGCCAATTTTTCAACAATTGCGCTACATTAGCCTTTACGGCGCTTTACAACACGGACACACGCACACAATGTCATACCGCTCCGCCCTGCCTTATGTACTTGTTCACGCCCAGCCACAATTAAATGCAATTTACGCGCAAAATAAAAAGAAAAGCAGAAAACTTCTGACCAGCAACCTAAAGCAAACAGCGGACAGTCACCAACATGTTTGGTCAGTGGGACTTGGGAGGGATTGAAGTCGGGATAGTTGGCTAGGATAATTCAAGGCACAGGCAATTTAGTTCGCATTTCTCTCATTGTGTTTGGCTCTAGGGTGGCCGACGCCCAGTTGAGATTTATTACAAACTTCCTGTCCGAGACGGAAACTACTCATTAGCCATTAAAAATGATTATGCGCAAACATTATTCACTGGCTTCTCTCGCTAAGCCACAAAACATGCATTGCCCCCTCGCTCTTTCTCTCGCTCTCTTTCTCTCTCTCTCTTTCTCTCGCTCTCTCCCTTTCGCTTCTTCGTCTCTATTTCCCACTTGCTCTCGAGACACAGACCAATCTCTAGCTGCTCCGCCGACTCTCATTTTCTCTTTTATATTGAGCTCTAAAGAAGCCAGCCACGTGTTATGCCAACCTCATTATAAACTAGCATGTCTATGTGTGCTTGTGTGTGCATGTATGTGTGCGCGTGTGTGTGCTGCCCATCAGTTTATGTCCGACATGTTTGAATTGCGAATGAGAAATTGATGGGCACTCAATCAAAGTGTGCTGCCTGAACTTGCGGCTGGCTCCTGTTGGTGTTAATGTGCCTGGGACGCACATCGCAGGCGCATCTCATTTTAAAGGCATGAGCTGTAGATTAGCGATAAAATATATACAGCTTGTGTGCATTACATAACGAAACGGAAATACTCTTCCTTTTCAAATGATATAATGTATAATGGGATTGGTGGTAAAGCTTGTGAAACTTGTGCACATCTCATTTTTCTGATGTAATCTCAAACTAAACGAGTTACATATATTTCTGAGTAGTTCTTCAGATGAATCTTTCTTAATCGAAAATCTCTTGGTCATTGTAAAGGGTATCTGATAGAAACCTTTACACAGAAATCATGTACTTGGCCCAGCCTTAAAGCAAAAAAAAAAGAGATTCGATTATCCCAGTGAATTAGGGGCAATCAGCCAAAAGATGAGCTAGATGATGGGAACAGCCCGGGAGTATGTCGCTTGTATATCCCATACACACACCCCTCGTCCATGCTCGGACCCAATTTTTTGACTGTAATTTTCAAAGCACACCGCCTTGACGGTTATCCAGCTACCTTTTGCTGATGTGTTGATTTTGCTTTAAACTAGACGAAGGTGCCAAAGAACGCCTAGCAATCAATCGATTTAATTATTTTTCAGCTGCGATGAAGTCATCGGCCAAATTGATTTTCAGGTTAAATGGCTTGTCAAAAACGAGGCAAGAGGCCAAAAGCGGTAGTATCTTTAAACAACAACAGCTGGCAACAACCAGCAGCAGCAACAACAACAACAATCACACGCACTCAATTAAATGCGCATTAAAAAGGCATTTGGCTCGTTTGGGGAGGGGTCATGTTGCCCTCTTGGGAATTGGGGATGTGCGTATTATTTGGGCTTGGGTGAAATCCTGGGCAACCATTGCAGCCAATATTCTTTCTATTGTTGTCGGGTTTTTGCTGCTGCCCCTGCTGTTGTTGTTGGCGCCCAGCGCGTGAGCAATTAAATCAAACGGCAGCAGACGCCACGGCACATTGAGCAGCAAACACAAATAGAGGATAGCTATGGGGCATATTAAGCTTGAGATGGAATTTGTAATGAATATGTAAACGATCCTCGATCTGTTTCTGAGAACAGGCTTAAATGTATGATAGGATTGATATCAAAATTAATAAAATGCCGTTGTAAGCAATGAGGATATTTTCTGGCTCTATGGATTGACTGGTACAAAATTACTATAAAAGATATTTTTAATAAATATTAGAATAAGGCTTCAATCTATACAACGAAGCAGCTAAGAGGTGTAAATCTATGATAGGAATAGCTAATGTAATTAATGCAAGGAAAAATTTAAATTATTTGCATAGATTGATAAAATTAATAAAACAAACATTTTTGCAGGGTATCTCGCAGCGCATCATAGCGCTTGGTAAATTGTTCGCATTGTTTTAATTAACGCAACATACGCATTCAAGTATCTGATGGGGAATTGGTTGCTGGGCGTCCAATTGTGGGGCACGAGCGAGCGGGTAGCTAGCTACTAGGAGGGCTTCGGTGAGCGGCAGAAAAGGGCAAAGGGCAACAGCACAGCTCATTAGGCACGCACCAAATGTTTGTCGCTTCGCTCGCAATGCGAACCAGCTCTGACCGGTGGCCATTGGCCAGTGAGCCATGAAGAGCGAGCGCTCTTTGATTTGTGAATGTCCTGGCGCCTGTTTTGCGTGTGTCCCGTACGTCGCCGTATGGAGCATGCCCCGCACCATTTGCCACAGATTTCATAAATGCCTTTTGTTTTAGCTGCTGTTAGCTGCTTGGGAATTGGCGGGCTATCTGCACGCTTTCTGCCTCACTGATTTATGGTCTATATTTATTTATATATACAATTTTATTTTGGGTTTTCGTGTCTGGATTGTGTGGGCCGCCTACCTTTCGATAAGCCTCATTTAGTTTTCATTCACTCTCTCTGCCATGTTTTATTCGTATTCATTCGGATTCCTGCCGTCAGTCAAGCGTATGCGCTTCGATATGTATACATAAATAAATATATAACAAATATATGTATATATTATATATGGGCGGCTTATATATGGCATAGCATAAGGTACAGCTGCCTCGTGTCTGCTTTCATTTGATAGCAATATTTCGGTTTTTAAGCTTCTTTCTTAAATTTTAACAATGATTTTTCCAACCATAAACTGTAATCTGTTTGCCTTCGGCTTTCCTAGCGGAACTTTCATTTTAAATTATTTACAACTTAATTATGTGAAAATTTGTTTTTTGCAAATAAAACAATGAATATTTTATGGAAGGATTAACTCGTTTAAGCAGATCCAAATTTGATGTAAAGTAAACAATTGTAATAATCTACTGGCTGGTCAAACACAGCGTGTGTTCATGCCAAGATAAATTAATTCCTTTAGAGCAAAATGTGTTTATTTATTCAAATTTTATTTGATTTGAATTTATTTCACAAAAATATAAGATTAAAAAAAGAAAAAAAAATATTTAAGAAATTATTAAAAAAAATGGTTTAGCTTCAAATTGAATCGAATTAAAAAATAAAAACAATCAATCAAAATATATTTAAAAAAAATAAAGCGAAAGAAATAAGTGCAAGGAAATTGGACGCATTCATTGCGTCTTGTACCTTATTTGCATGCTCTACAAATGTTCTATATTTTTTCGCTTCGCTTAACAATTTCAGTTTAATAGAAATGTCTTGTTGAGAAAATATTGCGGCACTTGACTTGATTGCCATAGTTTGTTGTTTTTGTTGCTGCTGTTGAATGAGAGACAAGTTGTTTGTGCCGCTGCCGCTGCTGCTTGTTGCAGCGAAAACCAACAAACAATTTGCCTGTCACTTTCAAGTGGAAACTGGCCCAAGACCATAACACAAAGACAGCCTGCAATTATTTGTCCAAAATGCCGCCTGCAGTTATAACTCAGTTGACCCAAGCTCCAAGCCAAGTTGGGTAATTTTCAGCAGCTAAACTGCAACAAATAAATCACAAAAAAAAACAGACCACGCAGTACAAAATGACATTTGTGTAAGCGCATTTTTTTCGTTTATGGAAAACTTTGCTTAAATGCACCAAATTGGCGGCGTTTGAAAACAAAATGAAAACCGAAATATTGCGAGCTGCCAATTTGGTGCTGCAGGTGCAAAAACACGTTTTCGCTTATTGAGTTCAATGCCTCGCCGCAGCAGCAGCAGTAACAGTAACAGTAACAGTAGCTGGCCGCGTTGCAAATTCAATTGCCAAGTTAACTAACGGCCAAATTAACTAACCGACCAGCCAAGCAGCCGAAACAGCCAAACGGCCAAGCTGCAACATTTTCCATAGATTTTTCACTTTCACCGTCGTGTAATTATTGCACTCGAATTGGTTAATTAACTTTATGCTGCTGCTGCTGCCGCCGCAAGGGGTGCCAAAAGGCTTGGCCACAAATAATTGAGGGTTTATACACATGTTAACAATTAGTTTGGAAAGTGCACTTAAGACCTTGCCATAAACTTCACTAATTTAAAGCGCGGTTAAACGCTCTGTAAAATGTTCAAACTGAGCCCATTGAATTTTCGCAACCACGTCCTTAACTATACCCAGCTGACACAATTTTCGACTCAAATGTCGCAATGCTATAAATTAAACTAGGATGGAATATATGGTTTTGACAGTTGCCAGCCAAGTTCCTATGGCTTGATTCTTCTACCAAACATATGCTACTCGCATTCAAACTCGTATCGCTAATTTTGGTAATTTGTCACGTACAACATAATATATAATATATATATATATATATATAATAATTCTACAATATACTCATAGAATGTGGCACATCGTGAGAGCACAATGTCTACCAAGTTAAGGGCTTCATTCAATTTGATAATTTCATTTTGAAATAAATTTTAAATTGAATTCAATAAAAAAAATACCTAAATTTTCCTCACGTTCGAGGTCCGGCTAAGAAATGGGTAAGAGTAAAAAGGGGTGGACACTGCACGAAAATTCAATCAAATGGCAACCGACAGCTCTCAGCGGTCGATGCGTCAATATGATAGTTTGCCAGAATTGTGTGCAAGTACACGTAAATGCACCTGCCACAAATTATTGAAGCTGCAGATGTAGCAAATTAACGCTCTGGGTTAATCTCATGGTAGAGTTCGGGGTAAATCTCATGGTAGAGTTCGGGGTAAATCTCATGGTAGAGTTCGGGGTAAATCTCATTAGAGTAAACTATATGGTTTGAAAGCCTTTGATAGAAGCTGACAAACAAGACGGACAAGAAAAAATATATATATTCAAAATTAACATCTAACCCTTTCTGCAGATCAAGTTCTTGAAGACAAAGGAGGGCACCGCCATGGTACAAATGGGCGATTCGGTTGCCGTTGAACGTTGCGTGCAGCACTTGAATAACATTCCCGTTGGCACTGGCGGCAAAATACAGATTGCATTCTCAAAGCAGAACTTCCTATCGGAGGTGATTAATCCATTCTTGCTGCCGGATCATACACCCAGCTTCAAGGAGTACACTGGCTCCAAAAACAATCGATTCCTATCACCGGCACAGGCCAGCAAGAATCGCATTCAACCACCGAGCAAAGTGAGTGCAAGCTAAACGAGGTTTTAATTCAATTATATGATATATATTCTTATTCCTAATAGATCTTGCACTTCTTTAACACACCGCCCGGTCTGACCGAGGATCAGCTTATTGGAATATTTAACATTAAGGAGGTGCCAGCCACATCTGTGCGTCTCTTCCCCTTGAAGACAGAGCGCTCGTCTTCGGGTCTGATCGAGTTCCCCAACATTTCGCAGGCCGTGCTCGCCATCATGAAGTGCAACCATCTGCCTATTGAGGGTAAAGGTGAGATAGTGTTGTGTTTAAGTGTTTTTCGAAAAAACGAAACAAATCAAAAAGTTGGCTATTTAAAAATTTTGTGCATATGGCCAGTAAATATAAAAAGAATTTGAGAAAAAAGTTACACAAAATTTTCGCAAAAAAAAAAAAAAAAGATCCACAACTTCCCAACACCACCACAACCCCAAAAAGTAGGCAATATGCAAAAGTTAGGGCGCCATTCTCGCAATGGCCTCTTGACTTTTGCTGCCGGCCCACTAAACCATCACACCAAAACACAACCCAGCACACACCCAACCCCAAACCCGCCAATCCACCAATCCACCAACCGCCAACCACTCGAAACAACCCTACCTTAACACAGCCTCGCGCCAAACTTTTGCTCTTTCATTTTCCTTGGCTGTGCAAAAGTTTTTAGTTATGAGTCGCGTTGAAAATTTTAATTTGGTAATTAAGATAAACAATTTCGGTAGCCAGTTATTTTATTTTATGGGTTCTCAAGCCCCCTCAGCCAGTCCTGCGGCAAAAGCTATTATAACATCTGCTCTGTAGCCCCCTTTCTAGCGGGACTTTTCTGTCCTGACGACCCATTAAACTTTTACCATAAATACTTTCGAGCAATTTTTGTCTCCGATTATTATTTTCATGTTTACATTCGGATTTTATTTACCTTGTCAACATGGGCTACAACATTTGCCAGCAATTGTTCATAAAATAATCAATTTGATTTCCAATCGATTTGCCCAATTCACTTCCATTTATGGGAATTACTTCTAGAAAATGGCATCTGAGCCGCATTCAATGCAAAAGTTCTTCTTGCGGCTAATGCAACACAGTCGAGGTCGTTGCTTAAGTAACTAGATTTTACAAAAACAACCCTTGTCATTAATATCAAATAATCGATCCACTCGCATGCAGTGGGATGGTTTTATTTATCGACAATCGGTACCACATAATCGATAACAATCCAACCTTTCCATTGATATGCATTCGTTCACTTAACCTAGTTGCCTGCTGCGTGCTGTGGCTGTCTATGCGCAATGCCGTGCCCCGAGAATAATTTGCATGCATTGGCCTGGCATTGGCACACCTTTTCACAGGTGTTGCCATTGCCAAGTGTGTTGCCTGCACAAGGGTATTCTGCCTATCATTGTTTACACCTTGCGTAAAAATCTTTTATGCAAATACCCGAGCGCAACGGCAGCCTAGCGAGGTGAGGCTTAAGCAGGTAAACGAGCAGGAGACGCGTGTGCATGTGTGCGTGTATATATATTTTGTCAATATTTTGGTGGGTGCTTGCATATTTGTTGTTGATGCATTTCTGTTGCTGCTGCATCGAGTGCTCGCTCGAGTGCATGGTAAATAGTAATTAAAAATGTAAGGAATGCAAATACACTCACACAGGCGCACGCCTACGCACACACACACAAACACACACGTAAAGCAAACAGCAAATGCTAAATGCAAACAGCTGCCGTTGCATACTTTCAGGCTGTAAAAATTATGCATCTAGCAAAATATTTTGCAAGCCCTCTCGCTTGCACAGACTCTCTCGCTCTGTGTATGTGTGTTTATGGGAATATATACACACACACACAGGCATAGATTAATGTGGTCGTATGTGTGCTCTGCTGATGGTTGGCAATTTTTACATCTGAATGGTTTTGATTGCATTGGTCCCAAAGCATTTTTATGATGGCTACCGCATTTAATTGGCACATAAAACACGCTTATGCTGTTCGGTTAGTCGGCTTACCAAGTACCTTTAACGGTCTATCGGGCGTTTCTAGCCCCTTTCTAAAATACCCTGCACTGATGGCAATAGGGTAAAATGAAGGGCCTATATGCCTAGTCTCTCATAAAAGACGTAGCTCAATCAAGACTCCGCAGGAACTTTATACTTCGATCAGAAAGCTCTTTATAGTCTAACCTTTTCAGTTTACAGGGTACCAACCTGCTGAACACACATTTCTGCCAATTTAATGATTTTAATTGCACGCGGCGTCGTATAAAATCAGGGCCGCGTTGGGTCTTCGGTCATAAACATGACCAACTTTTCTGATTGCGCAACAAAGTTTAAATTAAATGCCTATTTCCTTTTACCACACCTCTCCTATCCACCCACTCCCTACCCACTACCCACGGTTCCTTTCATTTTTCCGTCCCATTACGAAACTCTGCGAAAAGCAAATAACTTGATTCAGATATACAACACTTATACACATTACTACAACAATACTATAAAAACCGGCTTTTAGCAACGAAGGAACCCCATTTATTCTATAACAATGCATTTTTCTTGCCCATCTTTATTTATCCAACTCTGGCACTTTAGGCACCAAATTCCCATTCATCATGAAGCTGTGCTTCTCCTCGTCGAAGAGCATGAACGGCGCCTGGAACAATGCGGCCAATGAGGGCATGATCGAGAAGGAGAATGACGGCGATGTCAAAGTGGAGATTTACAATTGAGATTTGATTACCATTGTGTAAGCAGCCAACAACCAGCTGAACAACACAACAAACAACTACACAACAACAAACAGCAGACAACAAACAACAAATATACAAATCATACAGAACTGGAGGAGTTGAATTTATGTGGAGCATATTGGATCGCGATGAGAAGAGAGGCAGACGTACACAACGGCAACATCAAAAACAACAACAACAACAAAGCATATTAAATATTTCAAACACAAATTAAATTCAAATATTGATGGAACGAACATACTGAGTGTAGTCAAGAATAACAAGAAAACTGATTACATATATAAATAATAAAACTAAATTACTGACACACACACACACGCACACCTAATCCCGACACACTAACAAATTAATAACTTAAACTTTAACTAAAGAAAGTTTATGGATAAAAACACAACACGCAAACGCATGTAACTTTTAAACGCGCCATTTACTTGTATTAAAAAAAATCGAATCACAATTAAACATAATCCCTACACATTCATGTACAAAATGGCGGCGTTCAAAAGCTACACACACGCTCACACACAGCCACATACACACACAAAACACACACACACCGAATTAACATCGCACACAATTAAACACTTTTACATGCGTTTGCGTCACAAGAAAAAACATACAAAAAATGTTATTGAAATTGTGTGGAAGAATAGCAAAAAAATTAGGTTAAAAAATTGTTTAGTTGCATTCAAAAACAAAAGAAAACAAAAAACAAAACAAAACAAAACAAACACCAAAACATTGACAAACGAAAATGTTTAGTTTTTTCTTGCTTTGAGTTTGTAAAGTTTCTCGTGTGTGTGTTGCACTTGATGAAATTATAGCAAAACAACAAATTGTAAACAATGTAATATGCAATTTATATATTATAATAAAAACATATATTAAACACACACAAAAAACGCAAAAGCAAAAATGAAAACCAACAAGAAATCAACTGACTTTCAACTACATATATATATACATATATATTTTAGTTAATTATATATCATTTAGACTTATGTACGATATGGGAAGAAAACAAAACAAAAAAACACAAATGCAACAACAAAATTTCTTTGGACAATATTTCGACAAGTATTCACGTGTGAGACAAAAATCTGATGCTAAAAACAAAATATTTATTGAATCAAAAATATTTAAAAAAAAAATGAATATGCGAGAGCGCAAAACGTGTAAAATTAAACCAAAAATTTAGCAATTTTAAATCAAATTTATTAACTTTAGTTTATGCAAATTTCAGCAAATTTCTAAAACTAAACAAAGAAAAAAGGAAAAACTTGCACAAGCCAATGTTTCTTTTTATTTTGATTTTTTCTTTAAATTAAATATTAACAAAAACAAAACGACAAAAAGACAAAAGAACATTAACATTAATTTATGTGCTTAATTTACAAAGGTTTAAAAAGGCATAAATTTATATGTATGAGCTGTATATGTATTTAAATTTATATTAATTATAATTTTACACTAAATGTAAAAAGCGACAACAAAACTAAAACAAACTAAAATTATAATAACTAAAACAATTAATGCATAAAAAGCATATTAAATTTATAAATTACAATTAAGTGCAGAGCGAAATTGAGACAGGCAAAAACATACATAAAACTTAAAAGAAAAATAAATAAAAATACAAATATTTTTGAGGCGTTTTAAGCTTAGACACGAGAGCCAAACATTTCAAAACTCCAAATAATTTTGGCGTGACGCATAAAAAACTTTATAAATAAAAATAAATTTAAAAAATATCAGCAATAAAAGCAACAGTAACAACCATATCAAAGGCGTATGTTAGATTAAATGAATAATAACAAAACAAATATAATAAACAAATTAATAACAATTAATTTCATTTAATTTTAAAGCAACTGCAGCTAGTTATAAAATGAATTTTTTATTATTTCTAGAGTCTGTACATTAGGCAGGGCGAAGTTCTATGTGACACCTTTGTTCTTAAATGCAAATCAACGAATACTATATGCTATATAGAGCCGTTAAACGAATTTTTCATACACAAGCAAACAAACACACACACACACACACACACACACACACACGCATACATATATATTTCATTTTTAATACTACGTGCAATTATTGCTTTAATTAAATAAAAGAACACTTCATTAATTCTATTTAATTTATTTGCAATTCTCTGCTCATTCGTTTATTTCATCTTTATTTCTACTTTTTTTTTAATGCGTCTTAGTTTTATGTAAATTGTTGTAAATCTTAAAAATTGTAAAATAATTTTCTATAATTAAGTATAATTGTACTTAATTTTAACAATTAAAGCATATTGATTTATAGACAGAGGATTAAAGAAACAAATCTCGTTAATTAAATCATACAATTTATTTTCTTAAGAACCTAAAGCAACAACGATCTTGAAGCTCCTAATTAGTGCATAAACAAATAACATAATAATCTAAAATAAAAATATAATAAACTAATTCAATAATACAATTCAACTTGGTAGCTATATAATTTATATAATAAAATCAGAAACCATTAATATGGAATTTAATTTTTAATTTAAAAAAAATGCAACATTAACAACGTTGCAACATTTTATTTTTAGTTTCTTATGAGTTAAAGCGAAAACAAAAAATATATATATTTCTATATATAGTTATATGTATAATTTGTTTTATTTAATATTTAAATTTTGTTGTTATTTTTTAACGCGTTTATTGTGTGCCCAAAGTTTGTAATATGCGCGCTCGATTTTTTTGATATAAATATATATATGTATATGTAAAATTGTTTAGCAATTGTATTTGTTTGTCTCATATATTCATTTACTTCAGGCTCTATACCGTAACGACATGGAAGAAAGTTTTTATATGTTTTTACAGGAATTGAAACGTGACAAATAATTTGCTTAATGAAAAAAGAAAACTATAGAAAAACTCGCAACAAGCCACATCCTAGCAAGCGCACAGCCCTACGCCGTTTTTAGTTTTTTATTTAAACAAAATGATAAACACGATAATAAACTATACTATACCAAAAGATATGCCAAATTGTTAAAGCGTAAATCCTGAATTTTTAACATATCGAAATTTATAAGGCCGCTTAAGTTAAAACGATTTTACAAATTAGGCATTAAAAATGTATGAAAATGAAAAATGAAAAAACCAGAATACTTTCACTGAACAACAAAACTGCTAACAAAACATAATCCATTTGTTAAGAACAAAAACGAACCCTGATAAAATATAAAATGAACGAAAAATAAGCGACAAAAATGCCCAGCAAAAAATTGTATGAAAATATGCAATGCTAGACCTAAGCAATGTTGAGTTAAGTGTGGATCATTTGAAAAACAAACCTAACAAAAACTAAAAGAGTACTAGCCAAATTATTTTTATTTGATTTGCCTACGTTAACAATTCGAGAGTTAGCCTAAAAAAATGATTTACCAACTTTAGTCACAATTTTTACACATTTTATTTCAAAACATTGGAAATCGTATATTAAGTCTAGCTAAATTTCGTTGAAAGAAAATTATGTTAAATTAAGGTTGTCAGCGAATTGAATTTGTTAAAAGATAACCCCCGCTCCCTCCTTAGTTTGCACAATTTTTGCATTTTATTTTAAGCGCTTTTTGTAGCAATTCTTTGCAAATTGTTTAAATCCTTTCCGATTTGTATTGCCGCGTAGTTTTCAACTCTAAAAAAAAAACAAATGCGCATGGGGCACAAGGTAGGTGCTGTTTATAAATAACTCGAACGATATTTTTACCCCCGTTTGACTCGAGCGATATACAAATCGTATGCTCTACACGGTTTTACTTAGTTCTTGTAATTCGCATACTACACAACAATTACACAACAACAAGAAAATGGACCAGTTTATTCAGCATTGAATTGACAACCACCAAAAATCAAAAACCAAATAAAAGAGTAATGAGAAATTATATACATTATATAAATTGATGAAACCGTCCAAATATGATGAAACAGCAACAACAAACAACACCACACACCGTACACACGAGTTGAAAACTGCTAACAAAAAAAAAATCAACCTTAAATTGCCTGCTGCCACTGGAAACGTTATTAAAACATATTTACTTCAGACAGTTATCGATAAATTATCGGTTTACCAGCGACAAATGAGCAAGTTGCTACTATATTTTTTGATCGAGCAATCAATAATGCTATTTATCGATTATTGTAATCAATAGTTATCGATAACTAGAATTTCTTACATATTGCAGAGCTGAAAAGGGAAGGCAGATTCATTCTGTCTTCCCGCCGCCCGCACCTATATAACATTTTTGACTTACCAAATTCGCTTAAATGCAAATTATCGATTAATCTATGGTTGTAATCGATAGTCGTAATCGATAATCGATAAAAAGTTCACACATTGCAGAGCCGAAAAGGGAAAGCATCAACTTTACCCCCGCCTGCCCCTTCTGATACCCATTAGCCGCCGCGCCTTTAAGTATGCCACAAAAACGCTTCGAAATGGTTTTGAAATCGTTTTCAGTCGCACAGGCAGTTTTCATATGAATATTCCAATACCATGCTGCTTGCACGAGTTACAACTACAAAGCTGAACAATGAAAAACATTTTATTTGCTAAAGAAAAAAAACGTAAAAATGAAACCAAAAACAATTTTCTATGAATAAACTTTTTACTTGCTAGACATTTTGCTATGATTTTGGTTTTTCCGAAAAACAAATTGAAGCAAACGAAAATAAAACAACAAAACACTAAAAACAAAACCAACAACTTTGTACACCGAAACGAATTCATAATAATCTATGATGAATATGCATATTGAGAGTAATCCAAAAAAAAAAAAACTAAACAGAAAAAAACACAAAAAAAAAAAACAAACGAAAAGCTACATATGAGAAATGCATAAAAGATACAACTACAACTATATTCTTATAGGCTTATAGTTTATACTTACATACATACACATACATACAAGTACTTATACATACATTAAACAAATATTTACATATAAACTATATATATACTATATAACAGAGTACATACACAGACGCATAGTAATACAATACACACATACACATGTGGCATATATTTACAGACATATATATATATATATATGTGTGTATGTATATATATATATATCGATGTATGCCTATATATAGTTTTTAAAATAAACAAGAAAAGAAGCAGCGCGTGTCAATTTTAAATGCAAGCTAAAAATTAAATCTCCAAAAAACGAAAAGCGTTCATTTATTCGCTTTTGGCATGTTGAAGAAACATAACCAAACTTTCACATAATTACACCACAAATTACACAAACTACACCAAAGACAGACAAAGACACAGATACAGACAGACATGACATAGACACAGACAAAGTTTTAAAACTAAAAATGAAAAGGACAACTGCATAGTGTAGTCGTACGCGTAATTACTGGTGATAATTTTGAAAAAATCTTAAAACATATTATTAACAAGTAAATACCAAAAAGAAAAGAAAAAAAATGGAAAAAAAATATACTCGTACATTAACTTACACAACGTACTGTAATTGCTACGTAATCTTAGCAGCTATGAATTTTGTCCCCAATTCCCCCTCCAAATAGATGTCTATACTAAATATACGATTTATATATATACACACACACACACAGACACACTCACGCATATATATATATATATATAATATATTCCGATACA